CAAATCATTACCCAGCTCAATTAAGAGTCCTAACTGTAATTTCATACAAATATAAGAACATCTTACTTACTGAACGTTGGTGTCTTTCTGCTCCTCTGGTACTCTGTCCAAAAGACATTTATATACAGCCTGAAAGAAAATTAAGACTATTAGACAAATGTGCCATTCTGCACAAAAAACATTTTAGATACAAGCGTTATTTAGATTCAGTTTAATGTCAATAGATGTTTTCCCTTTCTCACCATGCACATTTTAAAAAGCCTTGCGGGAAAACAAAATTACATGGAATATAAGATCATGTAGTCCTGTCAAAACAAGATTCAAGACCTGTGATCAACGTATTTGAGGCTAACTTACTTTTTTTAAAAAATGAGTTTAAAGTGTTTTAAGGCCTTAACTTTAGATACATGAATGTAAGGATGTGCAGCCAACATGTGACTGTGACTGCATGGCACAGCAGTCAAACCTCATTCTTGAAAAATATTTCCATTTACAATATACTTAAGATTCATATCACTAAATGCTCTCTGTAACTGCTTTTAAGTGTGTTTTCAAATTTACCGATATTTATTGATGTTCTCATGGAACAAGGAGTGGAGAAAATTTGAAAAATATTCCCAATCACTGTTAATTTTTTATTCCAATTACCATCGACAACTGCAATTTATTGAGAAAATAAATCAAAATTCTTGTCATGACAAGAATTTTTCACAATAAATTAACCATGATAAATGCCCACACCCTCCTTAAAAATACAAAACAACATTCGTCCACTGGCTCACCTGTTGGTACTGAGAATATTTAATGGGATCCTTCTCAAATACTTCATATGTCTGAGACTCCAGGTTGTCCATGAGGGGCTAAATGAAGGACAAAAAACAAGAAATCAACTTCGCTGCGAGTCAAAAAGCTGATTAAAGAAAATAAAAGAAGTGAGGACAGTGTGGAGGTGTTGACCTGTAGAGGTGACTGCAGGTAGTCTTCGTAGCCTTTGGCAAACAGCTCATAGGTGTTAGGCGCAGGCCTGTTCTGGTTGAGGTATTCCAGGTATTGCAGGTAGGACCTGAAGTCCTTCTCAGTGTGCCGATTGGCGCCTGTGAAGATAAATTGAGCCTCCAACTGGAAAGGCAAGAGTGTGTTTTTGTTAAAAAGGAAACTATGAAATTTGGATAATCAACCAAACCGCTGGGAGCTTTGATGTCGGACCTTAAAAAGCCGGAAGATTATCCTCTGATGGGCTTTAGACAAAACAGGGAAGCCTTTCTTATTAGTTAGGAAGATGCTAGTGGGAAGCACGGCTGCTTTGATCGGCTCTCCGAGCCACTTATCGATCACAGCGTCTGACGGCATGTCGGCTCCCACTTCAATCGCTGCAGGAATAGAAAACGAGCACATTCTCAGTAGGGGGGAAAAGAAAAGGGTCTGAAGTACTTGTAATGCTTTAATTTGCTGCGTGGCAGCAAGTTCTCTCACCGAGACAGATCCTCTTGTTGTAATCACAGAGGGTTCTGAATGAGTGCCACCTGAAAAAACAAAGATTGATAAAGAAACTGAGCCGCAGTTTTCATTTGATTCAGCGCTCCTGCTGATGAGGGAGCAGAATAAAGCTAACCAGCTCCAGGTTTTCTCATCCGCGCTCGTCTCGTCTAAGCAAGCGGTCGGCTCGTTCTCGATCAGGTCATCCCGCATGTCTTCTGGGGCCACCAACGGGACACGGATCCAGAACTAACCAACAGAAAGAGGAGCTGGGGTTAAAGCCAGGACTGCAGCAGGGATGCGTCAAATCCAATTGCAGGCTTCCGCCGGATGCCCCGATGCTGTGTCTCACGTTTGAGGTGTGGTGTCCAGTGTGGATGTGGTTTAGCAGCATTCGGGCTAGATTGGCATTATTGGGGCCCTTCAAAGGGATCATGAAGACAGGCAGACCCAGGTAGGCTGAGAAGTTCAGTTCCTGTGCAAGAGCCTGGAGAGAAACGCAGAAAAACAAAAAAAGATGAGAGGAGAAAGTGACGACAGATGCAAACAGAGAGGAGCTCTGATGAGACCAAGGAACTGCCAGCCTCACAGCATGCAAAGGAAGTGAGAAATGTTCAGACTAAGGAACGTACAGCTTCAGAGTTCCTCCGCTCCGTTTCCAATTCTGAATCCACGTCGACCCATTGGGAGAGCTTCCCGACAATCAGAGTATTCCAGTCTACAAAAAGACAGAGAACAGCCAACTTATTGTTAAAAAAGAAAAAAAAAAAAAAAGAAAAAAGAAAAAACATGCCAGGTCACCCCAGTTTTATCTGCATTAACTTTTGTGTTAAATGTTAAATTATCAGTGGCTCTCTCATTCTAGATAGCCTGATTTATTGATTTGGTCATTTACAACCTTTACATACACAAGTAAAAATAAAAAACACAATGCTTAGACCTGTCGCAGTAAACAACAAATCAATTAATCGCTTCATCGTTTTCCTCTCTCTTTTTCTACCAAAAACTGGATGACAAAAGTCTTCAGTCTGCTAAATTGGTCTCAACTAGCCCTTATTTTGAAAGACAATTTTATTGGCGGAGACTTCATAATTCATTTTACTTCTGGTTTCTCTTGTTTTGTTTTGGATATTTTTAATGTCTTCCTGTTTCAGTGTTAAATGTCTGTTAGAATTTAAAGTTTTTTAATCTTCGGGAATGTGTTCTTGCATTATCGTGCAATGACTGTTACATTACTTGGAAATGGTCTCAAAACAACAACGTTATCATTTGTCGCAATAACTTCTGGGGCAATTCATTGTCCAGCAAAATTTTGTTATCTGACAAACTATGCTGAAACATACAAAAAACAGAAAATTAGCAAGACAAAACTAGGAATTTAAATATTTAGATTCCTGTGAGTGGCAAGAACAGAAAGTGTGGAACAAAAAAAGTCTAGATGGAAGAATAACTTTATAGATTTGGTTTCTGATACAATGTCACACTAACGGGTCAAGCTATAACGGGTCACTAACGTGTTATGGAGAATGTACGTGTACAGTGCGTTTTAACAGACACTAACGCCACTTTGATAGGAAACTGGGATGTATTTGGCTTCATTATTCGTCGAAACACAGAAATATCACACCAAGGTATCCGACTCTCTGATTTATGATCACAGTATTTGTGTTCCTAGACCTACAAGATTAATGAAAATGAATTATTCTACAAAGTTACCTTCTTTATTTGGATGTAGGTCTGTTTTATTTTAAATCAGCAGTTTACAATGAAACTGAAAGCCGTGCAAGTTCAATCTGATTTCACAGCTGTTTACAATAGTCAAGTCAAAATTACGAGCAATTTTAAGAAGATGTATCGACTAAAGCGGAGCACGTACATGTTGAGAAATAGACGTAAATCAATTTCTTTTAAAAAAGCGTATGCATGGCTTTTTAATTAGTTTTAGAAATATCAATTATTGATATTAGGTTAGGTTTTAGGGCAAACAGGGGATTTTTGTCCAAAAGTTAAATAGAAAATAGTTGCTAGAATTCATGTTTAACTCAGTTTGAGCATAACTAGGTCATAAAATTAGATACTTTGATGCCTTTAGTTTTGCATAGTGAACATTTTCATGTTCATGACTAATGTTAAGCTGTTTTACATGATCTAATATTAATAGCATTAAAAGTATTAGTCAACATGAAATGCATACTATACAGTTCTTTGAAAAAGAGCGGAAAAACCTTGAAACTCAACTTAATTTCCTAATCAGCATTAGATTTGCTTTTTACTGGACACGGTTAAACATTACTCAGTTGAAACTTTAAATAAGAAATGCGAGGAATTCCCTAGAGTACGAAAATGGCCTGTTATATTTTTAACTGTAAATGAAGAAAGTACATCTCCTAGCTTTGCTGTGGTATACAGACTAACCTCGTCCACAAAGCAGCAGGTCTGAACGGGTCTGGGCCCCGGGTCTGGACTTAGCGGGCTCCAACTCAGACTCTCTCTTGAACCTCGGATGGAACAGGGGCATGCACAGGAAGTCAAACCTGAGGAGGAAAATGAACCTTAAATAACACCGACATGCTTAAAATAGAAGCCCGGAGAAAAGCGAAAGGCACTTAATAGAATACGTTTTAAAAAGGCGAGGAAATATTGAGCACAACAGCCCACGCTGCTGCTATAAACACTTCAGAGGATCATCAAGCATCGTTGTAATGAGGGCACGTGCTGAGAACTCGCCGGCTAGCTTAGCCAGCATCCCGCTCTCACACAAAAAATAACAAGGCGAGACGTATTATTACGGCTCAAAACTGACACGCAGAGTCAAACACTCTCCTCACCCGAGTTTGGCGACCGCAGCTAGCGTGTCAGCTATCTCTGGCACGCAATTCAAATCTCTCCCACAGGACACTCTGCTCCCCGTACTAACAGACGCCATGGCTTCTATCCGACTGAATGGGGGGGACCATCTTGCCCCGTCGCTAGGGAAACTGGCGCCATTTTGGATCCAAAAGGACGTGGAAAAGTATCGAATGTGAAGGCATTCAGAGCCAAAATGGCTCCGCAAGGACGCCGGTTGCATATCCCGTAAATTACCGCGATAATTATCCAGTGCCAGGATTCCACCCCTCCCCCCCATTTCCATTAATTCAGTGACATAAATAAAATAAAAATAAAATAAAATTAATTAATTAATGAAACCATACATATGAAAAAAGTTTTTGATAAATGTCAAGGGAAAAGTGAAAACTCTAATTTAACTAGTTAACAATATCCTAATATAGAATTATGATTTTAAAAAGCTCTCTATATTTTTAGTCTTAATACACGAAAAGTTAATCATAATACAAAAAGAGCTAAACCAAAAAAATAAATAAAAATCAAAGCTTTTATCTGCTGACTGAAAGCAAAATAAAAAGTGTAACTGTTGCATAACTAGATAACCCACTCACCACACACACACATCTACACAATCACACTCTCTTCTCAGAATGAAAGCTTTGCAGAAAGAGGCTTCACTGCATATCAAATTCACAGCAAGAAGAGTGAAACATTGCTTACAGATATGTTTGTGCGTGTGTGCGGTGCAAGCTGCAACATTTGTTAGAGCTATAAAAGGATAAAAGGGCACCCTTAGGAGCAGATGAAAAAGTGGACTTCCTGGGAATGATTCTTCATCAGAACCCTAGCTGTGGTTGGAAAACATATGGCTTTGTCTGATTATTGCTTGGTTTTCTTGTGGACTACCGATCTTCTATGTTAACTGAAAGGATCTACAGATTATGTGATCAACCCAGCAATTCATAGCTTGTTTTTTTTTAATACTAATATGGCTCTGGAAGATATTTGTTGCTTCAAAGACAAGCCTGCGCAGCAACTGTTTCCTTTTCCAGCTTTGGAGACAGATTACCACAACCTTGAGTTGGAAAGACTGAAGACATCTCAGACAAACTGTGGGGATCCACAGCACATTTTCATGCCACCTTTCCCACAAGCCACCCCATTCATCAGCAGACGCACGTCTCGTTTCGGACCGCCAAACCATGTGCTGACCGTGCAAAGGCCTTTCTCTCTGTCTCATGGAACAACAACCTTGGGTTTTATTTTCCAAGGTGGTGTAATTGCAGCAGCAGACACACGTGCCAGTGCGGGTGGCCTTGTTGCATGTCCGGCTGTACACAAGATCACCCCTATTCACTCCCATTTAGTGGTCACCTCCTCAGGCAGCGGTGCAGACTGCATGCTTTGGGAGCGCATCCTGATCAGAGAGATCAGACTGTATGAGCTGCGGCATAAGCGTCGACTTTCCATAAGAGCTTCTGCCAAGCTTCTTTCCTGTATGTTGCATCCATTTAAAGGGACTGATGTGTGTGTGGCACTCACTCTGTGTGGTTGGGAAAAGGAAGAAGGGAGCACTGGGCTGGTTCACAGCTTTGGCAACCAATCTTTTGTGACTGATGTAAGCTCTTCAGGCAGTGTCGGCAACACTTCAGCAGCAGATCCGCTATCCCCAACCAGTGGCCCACGGGTTATCTACGTGTGCAGCGATGGCGCCCGACTGCAAGGAGATATCATCTCTGTTGGATCAGGGTCTCCTTATGCTTATGGAGTCCTGGATGGGGGTCTGAGTTGGAGTTTGAGTAAAGAAGAAGCCATCTCCTTGGCAAGAGAAGCCGTTTTCAGAGCCACTCACAGGGATGCCTACTCTGGAAACAATGTGGATCTTTTTCACATCGATGCCCAGGGCTGGATCCAAAGACCAAGGGAGGACCTGAAAGAAGAATATTACAGAGAGTTGGAGAGGAGGTCCAAACACAGAAGAGAAACGAAAAAGAGAGATACAATAGAAAGCAGTTAGAGCAAACAAGGGAACTGTGTTGGGCTTTGGAGATAAAAATTATGCACCTAGGCTGATCAAAAAGTAGTTATAAGTTGTGGTAAACCTCTTCTAGTTTTTAAGGGTACTTTATGAAACTTATAATGTTTATCCAACCTTTAAGGAATATTCCCTAAAGTTAAATTCCCTAAATGTTACATCAGGAAAATGGTAGCTAACATTCAAGGAATCTTTGAACCCATTGTAAGGGTATTCTAGAGGTAACATAATCAAAGTTGTAGATAAACTTCAATGAACCTCTATAGAATGTTACCGATTTTCTAGAAAGAGTTCAAAACAACTTTTATTTACCTTTTGGGGATTGTCCTCTGAACATTGTTGGAACATTGTGAAAGTTGCATGTATTGTTCAAAGACTCTTTATGAAATTTCCCTGAAAGTTCTTTAAAGGGTACATAACTAAAATACTATTCAATCTTCTGGATAACATTGTAAATTAAACATATTTTTCTTTGAACTTGTAGAGAACATGTCAATTCCTAAATGTCACACTATTAATGGAGAGAATCTCCTGGTAACCTGCTCTCCATGTTATCTGAAGAATAGAAAATATATAACCTTCTGAGGATGTTCCTCCAAGTAAACTTCAGGGAATGTTCAAAAATAATAACCAAAAGTTCAAACCGTTTTGGAAATCTTCCCTCAAGTTCTGGCAAGGTTGGTGTTTTTTTGGGCACGTCCTTCAACAAGCCATTAAATTATTTGGAAGTTAGTCTACACAAAATAAGGTTCGAAAGCCTCGCTTTGTTTTTCTTTGTTTGGCCATGACATATTTTTGACTTTTTCAGTCATTCACCACACAGGGGCGCTGTGTAATTTTTTGCAGCCATGAAGAATAAATCTTCCTGCTCTTGCCGGAAGTTGCTTGCTCATCGCACTCTTTCAAAGATGGCTCTTGCTAGTGTGTTAAGTAGTGATTGTCCGGATTTTTCGTCTGATTATCGGCAGCCATTCGCCTTCGGCTGCGGTTCCGGACAGAACGAAGGAGAATCTGAAGCTGGACCGGGAGAAAGTCTCAGTTTTTGCGTTAAGAACTCGCTGCTCGCTGGGGATGAAGATGGCGTTGAGAGGAAAATAGAGTTTCTGCACGGAACAACCACATTAGCGTTTAAAGTAAGTGCAGTTATCGTTTGTTGTTGCTAGACGTTGTCATTAGAGTCATACTAATTGGATATGTTTCCTAAAGGACATTTATATTTGTTTTAAATCATACGCTACGGTTCATATCAGACAATGACCCAAACGTTAGCTTGGTGCCGCTAGCTCGGCTAAAAACTGCTTTCTCATGGCAGAGAAACGGACTTGGTTTACTGCTGAATATTATCAAAACAGAACACCGTCAGTTCCATACGTAACTTTACCAACCTTTTTACCTCTACGAGTAGACATTAATCTGTACATCGTTTTGTTCCCATATTGTAATTTTTAATGACATTACATCTTCAAATAAACTAGAGCTTCATAGTCGGGTCCTGCACCCTGTGTTGTTGTTTATGGCAATAAGAAAGCAGACAGTGAATGTCTCAACTCTCTAACCTGTGTTGTTATTCTGTTATGACAGCTATGTGACATGTTTCTTCTTTAAAAAAATAATGTCAAGAGGACCTGTCATCATTCTGTATAGGTGGCTGCAATCCAAATAATAAATAAAAATTAAAATGGTTAACTAAATATAATAGATAAATAAAAATTAAACACTATTATATAATGATCTTGTAGGGTAAGATTCATTTCTTGCAAGTAAATACAGGTTCATGGCACCAGTCAGCATTCTGAATTGAATTGAGTTCTGTTATTGTAAAACTTTGCTTCAAACTCAGGACAGGTTCCAAACTCCTATAATTTGATGTTTTTATGTAGACAAAGACATAAAAGTAATCCATCTTATGCCGAAGCAGAAGATGGATTGCACCCATGGGGAGTTGGATCATTTTCTCTCCTTAAAAATAATAAAAATTGTAGTTTCCAGTTTTTTCTGACAGTTGTACTATGAAAGTAGATGAATAGCATCAACATATTTTATTTTTTTTCCCCGTTACTCTGAAAAATAGAGATTAGCAATGATATAGTTTTGAAAATGCTCCTTTGTTGGACTTTATTAGTAAACATAAATAGATTCAAGATTAGTAGCTGGAAATTACAGAGAAAAAGAACCATGTTTTACATTTACCTGATACGTGTTGTTTTCACAATAATTGTTTAAACAACGTTGCCATACCTACATTTGTATTTTGTTGATTCCTGTGTTATAACACTTGATTAGTTACCGAATGGAGCATAACACGGGTCTTCTCGCCTTGTTTCCTTCAGTTCCAGCATGGCGTCATCGTGGCGGTGGACTCTCGGGCCACGGCGGGCTCCTACATCGCCTCGCAGACGGTGAAGAAGGTGATCGAGATCAACCCTTACCTCCTGGGGACCATGGCCGGAGGCGCCGCAGACTGCAGCTTCTGGGAGCGCCTGCTCGCCCGCCAGTGCCGCATCTACGAGCTGCGCAACAAAGAGCGCATCTCTGTGGCGGCCGCCTCGAAGCTGCTGGCCAACATGGTGTACCAGTACAAAGGCATGGGACTCAGCATGGGCACCATGGTGTGCGGCTGGGACAAGAGAGGACCTGGTAAGCGCAACAAGTGCATTGAACATGTGGCTTTTTATAAAAGAAAATAATAAAATTACTAGAAGTACATTTTAGTTTAGTTTTCTTTACCTTTTATAATAAAATATTATATAAAGTACATCTTTTTAAAGTCATTGTTTGCAGCTCAAAGCAAGTTTTATTTTATAGCTGCAGGAGCAAAAGTGGCTCCTTAAATAGGAAAAGGACTGCTGGTGTAGACTCTGCAAACCTGGTGGAGATGTACCCAAGAAAACTTGGTGTTGCAAAAAAAGTTGTGCAAAGTATTTTTTCAGGGAGCTAAAAACAAATGCATGTCACACTTTTTAATTGTTTTTTATTGTTATTATTATGAAAAAGAGAAAACCATACGTCATTTTTCTTTCTCCTTTGTATTTATGCACGACTGTGTGTTGGCATGGCTGTAGATGGGAAGCGTTTTTCTCAGGGGGTTTAAAAATGTGCAGTTCCTTTGCCTGACCAGTAGATGGTGCTGCAGCGCCTCTTTTCCTCTCCCCTTGTTGATAATGTCACACTATGCATTTTGGATGCCAAACGCTGCAAGGCTCTACATCAGAAGGTGTGTTTAAAGAGGCCACCACAGTGACACAGTAATGGGAAATCAATGATCCCGGGACTGTGGGCTAGTGGGAGCGCCGCCGGATGATGGGCGGCGGGGGTCTCTGCTCGGACACTCCGGGTCACGCGTATAAATGCCACGACATGGAACGGCGATCAATGCCAGCTTTATCTTGTACGGCTTCAGGCTGACGCCGACAGACGCGCCGGACACACGCCTAATCCCCAGCAATCAATTGAGGAAACAAGGATCCTGTTATGAGTTCAACAGGTCAAGCAATGTAAATATGTCCGCTCTCAGCGCCTTCGTGACTGAGCAGAGAGGTATATGTCAGGGAAATTAAATCAATCACTATAAGGTAAGAAAGCTCATTAAAGCTACTACAACCACGTCAAGTGCACTTTATTCCCCTCAGATGAAGTGTCTTAAGCTGCATGCTAAATAAATGGAGTAAAAGCCACGCTAAGGAGCCTGACAAATGCTGCTCCATGTAATAACATTACATATTATGACACTTTGTAATCAGCGTACAGTTAACGGCTTTTATTTCAACGGAGAAAAAAAAAGTGACGGGCGTAATGTACAGACTCCTTTCAAAGACAGGACAGGCTTGTAATAGGGTCGCATATGAATAATCGGGCCTCATTAGGGAAAAGAAGGGTACCGTGTGATCGGAAGCCTCGTCAGACGACCCGTGTGGCAGATGGGTTTTTTACCGCCACTCCCAAGATGGTGATGTAACGACTTAGTTTTTTTTTTTTTTTTGTCCCTACTCACTTTTTAAACGAATTCAAGGACCGACCCAGTGGATGGCAGTCGTCCACGGACCACGCTGCGCTCATCACCTACATCTAAATACTGTTATTCCAGCCAGCTGCACAGCCTGCTGCTTAAAAAGGGACTCCTTAAGCACCTGTCAGCCGGTTGATAAAGTAGAAGAAGTCTCCGTCGGCCGGCGCGGCCTCACCGTGCGGACTGCGTTTCCGCTGCCTCCACTCACCGTTTCTGTCACGAGCGCGCACAGCGGCTGAGTCAGAGTTGGAGGGGGCAGAGACTATGAAGAGTAGCCACATTGGCTCCACAAAGGCCCCAGGTGTGCGCTCCTATACCGTTTCTATACTTGGACCTCTTAAAGAGTCCTCAACCCTCCCCACTACCCCTTCCATCAAGCATGCCACTCGACAAAAGAGGGCCGCCTTTACAGCTCCCTTTCCCTGCCTATTATGTTTTTAACGAGTCCCTCGCAGTTTCCAAGTGGAACAGGCAGGTCTTGGAATGGCAAATTACCCCCGTGCGCACGCAGGCGCTGGATGATTATCATGGCAATCTAACGACAGGCTCAGGAAGCTGCAATTTGCCAGCTGAAACCAATACTAAGATTCTTTTTCTTTCTTTCTTCTTTCCTTTTTTTTTTTTTTTTTTTTTAACGCCCTGAAAAGCAAGTGGCTCTCGAGCTTTAATAGACTGTCACTAGTTAAGCTGAGAATCAGAGAGCGGGGTTGATCTGCATGCGTTCCCGGATTGGTTTTCACAGGTTTCGGCTCTGTAAAAGCGTTCTGAGAGAAAAAAAAAAAGAAAAAAAAAGAAATCCATGCCTTTTCGCAGGCTGGCTTCTTTTCACCGCTCGTGGGCGAACTCGCAGGCTGGTGCTCGTCACTCTGGAGCCGGGCCCGTGGGGAGCGTGTGTCACGGCTCAGAACAAAATGTTGTGCATGTGTCCGTGATGCGTGGCGTGGAGCGAACTGTCCCTCACATGTCCGTCAAAGCGTTGCAGAAGTTGCGTCGCTCGAGGGCTTACAGCAGGGCGGGTTGACGAGCTCACGGCCCCAAACTCCGTGTAGATGGCTGCGAATGTGCCCGTCTGATATCCACGGGATGTGAGCACGCTGTAGTGTTGTTTTTTTCATTTTCTCGTCCTCCACGATGAGGCGTGAGCCGCAGTTACCTGGACAACTCAGGTTATGGGTCGATAGTTAATTTTTGGCCTGTTTGCAGAGAATCAATAAGAACCAGAGAAGGGGACCTTTGGGCAGACGGCGTTATGGGGCCGCGCCTCGTCAGCAGGTTCCATGGTCGGCTTCATTTTACTTGAAGAGGATGCAGCTGTTCATATCTGCCAGCCCTCGCTTCACTTGGAGGGGTTGCAGCTGCTCTTATTTTCTCTCTGGAGGATGTGTATGTATGTGTGTGTGTGTGTGTGTGGTGCGTTTACAGACTTGTGTGTTTTGTGCTACATCATTTTAGCAACACCTGAATCGGGAGAAGCAACTCCCGCGACGCCACCTCCTCACCTTCCCGACCTACCTTTTTGCCCTCTCTCTTTAGGGCTGTACTACGTCGACTCGGAGGGCAATCGGGTGTGCGGCGACCTGTTCGCGGTGGGCTCGGGCTCCATGTACGCCTACGGCGTAATGGACAGCGGCCTGCGGCACAGCCTGAGCGTGGAGGAGGCCTGTGAGCTGGGCCGCCGCGCCATCTACCAGGCGACATACCGTGACGCCTACAGCGGAGGGCAGGTCAACTTGTACCACGTCCACAGCAAAGGTTGGACACGGGTCTCCCAGACCGACGTGCTGACGCTGCACCAGCAGTACAAAGAGCAAGCGTAACTGATGGGGA